TTTGATGTACGGACACAATTCTTTGACGCGACACATCGTCAATGTAACAGTCCTGACACGAACACGAAATAAATGGGGACGCACAGACAGAGAGACGTTCAGTTCAATTTTATTATGCTGTTCTTCTGGGGCATGAAAAACGTAAGGTATGTTCCTAAGCTATTACTTAGAAAATGAAAAGAAACAACAAGATAAGACAAAAAATCATTCAACAATAGAAGAGAAAACATGACAAGAATCATTTTCTTACCATTCCTAGCATTTTGTAAATGCTGCTGTACGATATGCAGAGCAACCCAGGTTTTTCCAGATCCTGTTTCCGCACAAATGATTGTATTTCTTCCAAGAACTGCATTTTCTGCAAGTTCTAAATGAAATTCGCGCAATTGAAATGGAGCTGCTGTGTTCGAAGCCAAAGCTATAGATATAAAAAAGCACAAAACTGATTATTTAAAATGATTATGAAACTTGAAGTGTTAAAACTGTCAGCACCATTTTACCAATTACCTTAATTTGATAGAAGGACATAAACATAATAAGACTTTTTATGCTTTGCATGTTCTTTTAACAGGCATTATGATTATCATTTTATATTTTTGTGTATTTTAAAGACAAAAATTATTCTAGAGGTATTTTCAGATTGATCATTATCAAGTGTTATCTTCACACATATAACAATAAATATGGTGATGATGGTATTAAATTTAGCATACATTAGCATATGCATTTTCTCAAACATATAGAAAGACACATACCCTCAGCCTCAACACTTGTATTATCATAATCAGATCCCATGGAATCTTCATCATCATCATCTACTTTTTCAGGGTTGTCCTGTTCATCAGTCTTTCCAGGTTTGCGGTTTGCTCGCCTATATATATCTATTGTTAATGCAAATTTAATAAAGATAATTATTTTCGTATTTGTTGCTTTTAAATAATACGTAGTCACACTGTACTGACCACAATTACTAAAATCAAGCAATACACCATTACAAGAACACTAAAGTAGTTCTTTACTTCTTTTTAGCTGATGTCATTGTTAAACAACCTAAAGAGTCAACATATAACAAGAATATTCATTATTTGCATAAGCTTGCTATATTTAATGCATAAAGGGGAAAACATACTGATAAATATTGCAATAATCATACCAAATACAAGCCTATCTTACTATCCATAAAGAAGCATAAAGATTTCCTTGAAGAATGCACCCTTTGTTGAAGGCGATATTGCATTCGTCTACAATTGCATATTCCCAACAACTAAAATACAGACGGCATATTCTTACCAAATGGAAGAGATTTTGTCACGTTAGGTTTTATATTGATCTCCTTTAAATTCGTCTGTAAGCTGTCATTTTGATACTCGGTGGATGTCAAGGGTGAGTCCTGCCTCATTGTCAGTGATTGAGGTGCTCCTAAGTCATTTGAATCCTTGAAACCTTCACCTCTGTCTAAGGAATAAATAATCAATAGTAATTAGTAATTTAAAGTGATTAACATGCCTCGTTACCGCCCAATGGGCGGGTCCCCTCGGGACGGATATTCCGGTCGAACCGCAACATATGAAAGATATTATTAATGTTGTAGCATGTCATTTTTCTTTATATTTGTATGTGGTTTTCTTGATTTGATTATAGACAGAAAAACGGACATGCTAATGGACAGATAAAGCTAACAATATTGCGTTCCAATATTTGTAAGCACCATTTATTATCATAATTATCAATTTTTGTTCTACGCATAATCGTTTTTCTTGTCCAAAATTTCTGCATGTAATATAATATTGTTTGCGCATTCGTGCAATTAGTATTTGTTTTAGAATTAGAGTAAAGAAAAATTTGTATTATGAGAATATTTCAGTGTTATGAAGATAAAAATCACGTTCAAATAAAAGACAGAATAAAACCAATATGATATAATGATAAAAAGTCAAACTTGTAAAACAAATTACGAAATTTACAATATGAATGATCATAACCTAGCTTTGGCATAAATGACGAAGGATTTTCAATAAAATCAGGTTCCATTTCTTTCACTATATGCTCGCATTTCTTCATCATCAATAAGTCTAGGAACTCATAATACCAATCCTGGGGCGATTTTCTACACTGCATTCTATCTAAGAGAACCATTGTCGAGTATATGTCGCCTTTAGTTTCAAATGTTTTTAGGATAAGTTCCTCATCAGCCGCATTTATGACACCTCTTGACTTCAACTCTGACACAAACTCATGTGCATGTATCATTTGTTCAAGATACGGTGTAAACAAACACAAGATTTTCTGAGCACGTGATGATGAAAATGCGTCATATCTATTTTGGTATGAAAGTAATTCCTTCAGGTAAGGATAGTCTGTGAATACAAAGATAAAATGTTATGAAACATTGACAAAAACTTAATTCTCAAAACGATTCAATAATAACCGAAGATTTTTTCAATGTCTGTTTTATTATTGATGACTCAAAGTAAAATTATTATTATCCAGCTTTCTTTATGTAATTTAATAAACCAAAGCCAAAGTTGTACCTGCACTTTCAAGGGAATCAACAAATGATCTCCATTTACCAGGAGCTTTGGAAGTAAACACAGCATCTAACAACTCTTTGGATGCCTTTACCGTCTCTCTGTCTATGTATAGATTCTTTATTCTTGCAGCATCCACTTAAATCAGAAATTAATGACATAAATATGACTATTTTAAAGAAAGAAATTTGTTGGAAATGTCAATCAAAATGAATTGTACCCGTATGTTTTACAAATTATATATATAAATATTAATAATATATAATAAAAACTTCAAGAGAAATTGTTTCGATATTTACGTATATAAATAACAATTGTGTTTGAAATACTGTTTTGTCTTTATCGCAGTTAATGAAAAATTTGAGGTTGGAAAATATTGAAAATCGGATATTAACATTTTGTCGTTCTTTATCTTGTAAGCAATAGTATATTAATAGTATATAGAGGATATTCAAGTTTCTTTTATAAATACAGGATTCATTTTCATCGAGTAGTAAAAAAAAAAATTCACAAGTGGCAGTAGCTACGAGTGAAATATGATAATTTTCATACCACTAGATGAACATATATCCTGTATTAATAGAAAAAAACTTGATGTTTTTGTTTATTATAATTATACTTGTAATGAATTGAAAAATAAATGTTTACAATGAAAGTAAGGAAAATAAAAATTCGCATTTAATATTATAAATAGTTCTCAATATTTTATTTATTAATATATAATAAATAGTATTTTGCAAGTTAGCCAGAAATATTTCCAATAAGAAATCATAACCAAGAGGATGACTATTAATTCAGTAATGACCCTGTACATATTTGTCTTCGGTAACATAGATTTATAACATATTGTTTGCATATAAGGAACCAATTGCTGTAAAACAAATCAAAATATCCAGAGTTACTTTTCAACCCAGAAAAATATAAATAGGTTGGTACCTCGCTTAGTGTTGAGCCTTATGAGCTGATAACTTCAAGGTTATATATGCAGTATTATTAAAAAAGTACTGCACTGTGTTCTTATTAGACAAAGTTGAAGCAATCATTAGAAACACGTTTGATCACAACAGAATCCTTTTTATGACAGCTATCCAGTAGACCACCAAATGTTTTGTGTCAGTGTTTTACTTATTTAAATTTTCAATTTAATCATAGAAAAGGAATCTGGGTAATAACTTTGACGTTAATTGTGATCACAGAGTGTCCGTTTGACTGTCATGTTGCGAATGCAGCATGTAATTGAGAAAGGTCGTTAAGCTTTCTTTTCAAATGACATTTATTTTGGTAATGGATTGACATATTTCTCCTAAATGTCTTAAATAAGAGATAAGTATTATTACAAATAAATGAATAAACATGGATATAATTCAAAGATGAATATCTTTTGTTTTCATTTTGTCCAGATGTCAAGTTTGCATTGTTAGTCTAGATTGCGTCTTTAGCAATGTAATGTCATACATAATCAAGAGCATGCCTTAAGAAAAATTATAAAATTTATACACAAATAAACACAACATCTACACAAGATGGGATAATGTTATAAGCCTACCGTCGGTAATGACAGAGTTAGCTAAAAGGTGAGACACAATAGATGGATCTTTTAAACACTTCTCAAATTCATGACGATATTTCCGCAACCTGGTTTCAATATCTGACGCCATTTCGGAAAATTTCCCTGAAACTAAAATGATTTTTTCAACACTCTATTGAATATCTAATCGTGATATAAGAAAAGAAAAGTGGGAATCTTAAAGTTTATACAATACGCATAATTGGTAAAACTAAATACACTTTTGAAAAGAAAAGATCATAAGCCTATGTATAAAAGACACATTTAAAAGGCGAGCAAGTGAAACGCGATCAACTAAAATTCGTAGTTTTATAATACATGTTGGTCGTAAGAGGTTGCAAGTTCGATTCCATAATGATTTGTAGTTACTATAGTGACTGAATGAACGTAATGCTTTTATATTGTAAGTGTACTTTACACTATACAATTTGTATTGTTTTTAACAAATTAAATACTTGCACTGTTTTATTCCTCCAACAAACGCAGCCACAAAAAGAATCGGGCTTAAATTTAGAAGAAAAAAAAACACATAAAACACAACAACTTAACACAAAACCATTTAAGTCGTGTTAACATTACTTAGAATGGATTCATTAAATCGTATGATAAAGTAAAAATCATTAACTTGACCTTACAGGTAACGGTCAATTCAAAGTCAAACCAAACTGAGTTGCTCAACAAAACGGTTCTATGCTAAATTTGACATTCATTTATTATACAAAAATACGGTCAATAAGAGCAACAATTAATAATTCAATTTATTTAATTTTTTGCACTTTTTTCTAGGTTGACCAACACTGTAAAGGTGGTATGGGTTCTTTCTAGTTTCAATGGTAATAGAACACATCAGGGGTCCTCCGTGATCTGTCACTTTGTTGTTATAATACCTTTAATTTAAATTTTAGTATCATATCAATTTTATTCAATTTCCTTACGTAGTATCTTAAGTTTAACTCATGTACGATTTAACCTTTTATTTTGACATTGTTAATGTTATACACTTTGCTACTTCGCTATTTGAGCTATTTTAAGTTAACCCCATGTACGATTTAACCTATTATTTTGACATTGTTTATGTTATACATTTTCTACTTCGCTAGACTTCCTTTTCGTTTCATACATTTATATAGATTTGAAATTGATATCAACAGTTTTCTTTTACTCGAGTGAGCGACAATAAAGCACCTACATGCAAATAATGAGATGAATAAATAGCTTGTACACAAGCTCGGAGTTCGTGTCCCTACCTGTATTGTAACTGATAAATTATCAACAGCATAAAACAAACAAATAAATAGAAGATTCAATGATTTTACATATATGAAGAGAATAACTTGTGTAAACCTGTACCCTTGTTTAAAAATTATCAACACCAAGAATAAAAATAAATTATTTCAGAATTGTCGGAGAAAAGCTGATTTGTCTGGTTGATTTAAAAAGGTGCTTTTGATTTAGCATAATGTATAACTTTTTCTCATTCTGTCGTCTGCATAGATGTAGCAGACGTTTATTAAGATATATACAATATAGTTTACTTAATTATTGATACATTAAATGGTTAGTAATGGCGATTATCTTATTTTGAATAAATTAACAAACATACCTTGATCGGATGTTTATATCATCTTCATTTTAGAAAAATCAATAAAATGAAATAAACTTCCGTTTTCATTACACCTTACACATTTCCGTAATATTCTCAATTTATACAATACCGTACCATATCACGGAGATTACCGAACATAAACTCTTTTGTTCAAATAATACACTTTGAATTGCTTAACGCTACGCCTATTGAAAAAGAAAACCTTTTGAAAATTTTATGTACTTGTTGATTTACACACTGAAGGCATAAATTTTGAGAAAATATAATTGGAATATGGGATAAATAAAATAGAAAATTAAGATTCAGAAAAAAAAACTCCGTATATGTCATATTTAATTAATTCGTTTATACGTGAAAAAAAATTTTTAAAAAAAAAATTTTAAAAAATTATAGTGAATTATGAATTTTATTAATTAAATTTTTTGTTTTCAATATCAAAAGGGTCGAGTAGTATTAAAGGGTTTTTGGGTTTTTCTTTTTCAATGTTTTGAAAATTCAACCCAGTCAAAATCATCTTAAAAAGAAAATTACTTTAAAA